TGAGTGATTAGGTCAGAACTCCCCTCCCTCCAAAGTCTATTAGGGTCATTAAGCAGCCAGGGTAGATCTGTTAAGGTCTGATTATGTTAAACCAATCTGGTTCCCTTCATTGACCTGAAAACTGGCCTCTCAGATAAGGGAGAAAGAGTGGGTGTGATATGTCTTGGCCCTGGTAAGGATTTCAACACACTCTCACGTGACACTCTCAAGCAGACTAAGAAAATATGGTCTAGATGAAGTTACAGCAATTGCACAAAGAGTTGCAAAGCTGCTCTCAAAAGATAATTAGCAAGAGTTGGCTGCTCAAATAAAGGTCATTTAAAGTGGAGTCTGCCAGGGTCTGTGCTGACCCCTACTCCATTCAATATTGTCAGTAACATGGACAAAAGAAGAGTCCACATGCTTATAAAATGTGTGTGTGAGATCTCAAATTGTAAATACTCTGGAGAGGAGGCCTGGAGTTCAGACTTACTCTGATAAAGCACAGAAACAGTCCAAAAATCAACCAGACAAAATTCACTAAAGACAAGTGCAAAGCACTGCAAAAAGGAAAACAGAGAGAACAGGGAATAATGGGTTAGGCAGCTGTTGCGCCCAGCAGCATTTGGGGAAGTAGGCTTTGTGTGAATAAGTTGCACGATTGTGTCACACAAGGTAAGCTGGGAGCTGCAGCGAGTGCCGTGGCTAAGGAATGAGAGGGTCTTTGTCCGCTCTGCTGACTGCCCAGGGCCTTGGCCTTGGCCTCTGCTGGCTGGCTGGGGGAGCTGCATTGTAAGAAGTTTGGAGACACGATGCAGGGATGTAGAGGAGATGAATGAGGAAGCTTTCGAGACCATGGCTCTTAGGGTAGAGTGCAAAGTACCGGTGAATTTAGGGGAGAGTAAGCAGGGATGTAGTAACAGTGGCTGATCATGTACAAGAAAATTACATGAAGAAGAGCATCAGCTGCTCCCCATGTTCACTGATGAACTAAGATGCACTGATTTAGCTGTTAGCAAGGAAGAGGTAGTTTGAAATACTAGAAAGATTTTCCCAGCTCTAAGGGCACGAAGCATTAGGGAAAGTGGGGAATACTTTTTCTGGATCCTCTGACAACTGTCCCAGCTAGCACCAGCAGAGAGCGGCAGTAGCTAAGGGATGTGAAAGCCATGTTGCCTTGCACAGCCCCAGCTCAGGGGACAAGGGAGCAGAGAAGGCCCTGCACTCCCTCTGGGGCTGATGCACTTCTCTGTTTCTGCAGCCACTCACCCACACAGGCCATGCGGGTCATGTCCAGTTGGAAGCCATCAAAGCAGTCGCAGGTGTAGCCCTCCCTGACGCGTACACAGCGCCCGTTCTCGCAGCCATTGAGAATCCCACACTCTTCAGCCTGCAGCCCCTCAAAGCCCTCGAAGCGGCCTGTAGGGTGTCAAGGTGGTATCAGAGTGGGGTGACCTTCCTCCAGCCCGCAGAGGGGATGTCAGGCAAGTGGTGGGATGGTGCTGGTGAGGCCAGAACAAACTCAGAGCAGCTGGGAGGGCAGCAGGGAGGGAGAGCTCACTCCAAACCTGAAGCACGTGGTTGGGGTGGGAACTGCCAGGCAGTTCCATGGACACATGCTGGGTTGGAAGGCACCTGTCTGTGTCTCCCAGTACTCACCAGTTTGGCTGGGCAGGTAGCGGGGCAGGGGCTGCACTGGGCCATGGTGAAGAGGGCTGCCATGAAACTCATTGTTGGGTTCTCTCCGGGGGAAACTAGCATCCGAGTTTCCATACTCAGACTCCAAGTAGTTGTAATAGGGGCCCATGTCTGGACTGGTAAGGCCATAGTGAGAGTCTTCCAAGCTTGGTCCGTACTCATACCTAGGCCTTTCTTGGAGATCAGCCTCTCTCTCACTGTCTTCACTGGCCCCATTACACAGGAAAGCAAAATCAGCTACAAACCATGAGAGAAAAAGGGTCAGCATAGCCTGGCTCAAGAGAGTTAAGCCTCCTACAGCTAGTGAGGGTATGCCCACACTAGGCTGGCAAAACCAGGCCTTCACTCAGTAGCAAAAGGCTCCAAAGCTGCATCTCTGTAGTTGGCTCATGGAGACCTCATCTCTGAGGAGACTAGCTCCTATCTGGGACTAGGGAGCCCTTGAACGGTGAACCCAAACTCCCAGTATGCTCACCTCCCAGGCACTGCCTCATTTCTCCTAAGCTGAGCAGGACTGAGCCTTCTGAGGCCTGTAGGGAAGCAGTATGGAGCATAGAGCTCCCCTCTCAAACGCCTTGGAATAATTTCAGACCAGTTTTCAGCTATATCCCACTCCATTGTTGCACCTCAGCCCCTGGAGAGGCAGGGGAGCTCACTCAGTCCTTGGGACTGCTTTGGAAAACAAGAAGAGACGCAGCTGCAGCCATACGTGGCCGACCATGTGTGGCACGACCAGCCGCAGCCTAGCCTGTCTCCACCTCTGCCAGGGGGCTGATCGCCCATGCCTGTGCGTGCTCACCAGAGGACCTGTGTGGGCAGAGTGCGCAGTTCTGACCCCAGGCGTCACCAAGCCGACAGCAGCACTCTGTGTATGTAGTCTGCTCCCCGTGCAGCAGATCTTGGCAGATGTAGTCAGAGACAGTCTGCCAGCAGACATCCAAGTGGATTTCGTACTCATCCAGGGCATCTGAGAGTGACATAAGCAAAGAATGCTGAAAGGTGCAAGGAAGGTGCAATCCCCCACGTCTGGAGAGGGACAAACATGCGCCCCATATCCTGCCTTGCCTATCCTAGGCTCCAAACTGGGCCTGGCACTGAGCCCCTGCTCCCTTGTGGGCAGCCCCTAGGGCTGGGCATGTCCCTGAAGGCGCTCAGCTGCAGGGCAAAAATGTTTGGGCTAAAGGTAGGTTGATACCAGGGAATTAGTCTTACCTGCCCTGCTAGAGAGGTTCACACAGCGGTTGCCAGTTGCATCCAGCACAAGGGGGAGGCTGCAGAAGCAGTGGTAGGAGCCGACCGTGTTCAGACACTCACCACTGATGCAGTACACTTCATTCTGACACTCATCCTGATCTGCCAATGCACAAATACAGAGCAACTTTTTAGGCTGGCAAGCACGGACAACAGAGGCCTACCCCTGCCAAAATGAGGACCCTGGGGGGTCTCTGCCACTTCTTCTCCCATTCTCCTAGGAAGGTCCTAGGAAGCCTGTCAGCCAGACCTGGCCCTGCAACACAGACAGCAGGGACAACAAAGAACATAGCAACACTGCTGCTGACCCTTCTCACAAAGTGTAGGCCCCTTCTGCTCTTTGGGGCCATCTTACCAACACACTCGAGCCTGCTAGAGTCATAGATGTAGCCTGTACGGCAGAAGCACTTGTAGCCTGGCACTGTGTTCAAACACTGTCCATTGCGGCAGAATTCAGAGCCGAATATCTCACACTCATCCATATCTGAGAAAGAGATGGAGGGAGAGAGAGTCTCAGGGGCCAGAGCCGTGGAAGCAGGGCATGCTGGCCTCTGTGCATGCAGAAAGCCAGCACAGCATCTTAGCCTGGTCCACCAGCAGGCCCCAAAGTGAGCCCTTCTCCTCTTCCATCTGCCTTAGGCCTGCAAGCAGACAGGGAAGCACCCACAGGCAGAGCCTGAGGACAGACGACAGGGAATCTCTTTGGGCAAGATATTTCCACAAACAGGAAATGCAAACACTTCTGGAAGGCTGAGAACACAAATCCCTGGAGGTAAAGTGCCTCAGAGTCAACCAGTTGCTGATCTGAATCCCCCAGTGGGTGGAAGTGCTGTGTGCTGGACCCCATCTCTCGTTTGAGATGCGCATGGGAGATTTCTACCAAGAAAGAATCACTGCCAGCAGTGAGACAGGACTGGCAGAAGGGGCACTACTGGCTCGGTGACACCGAGAATCTGTGATTTCTCTGAATGGAGGGAAGCAGCCATTTCTTTGAGCAAGACATAAACATTCCCCACCACGACCCTAGGAAGATAGTTCTGTGAATCCATCTCCTTGCAGGGCTTTCCCCACTCCCATCACTCTCTCCCCTGGAAGAAAGAAGAGAAAATGGTGCTAGTACCTGTGAAAGAGATTTCTCCTAAGAGCAAGTCTTCCTGGGGAACATAGCCCTTCCCAAGAGGGCAGATCTCTTCATACTCCACTGGCCAGGAGGCAGATGCCAAGGGGAGATGAGAAAAAAGCAAACAGCTCATCAGTACAACCAAACTGGGAGCTGATGGGCAGAGCACTGGCCCTGCCTGGGCTTGGAAAGGGAGTGGTGAGGCCATTGTCCTACCTGTGCCTAAGATGGGGCAGGGGTAGGTCTCACAGTTGTCACCCCAGGCTGCCCCCACAGTACAGCAGCACTCTTCCTTGGTGATGTTCTTGGCCAGGACACTGTCACACAGGCTAACATCACTGATGTGATAGTAACACTGCTTGCGTTCCACGCTGCCAGGGAGACGGGCTGTGCGTCTCTCAGGGCCCTCTAGGACACAGCAGAGCAAAGATGGGATGGGGGCCTCTGTACCCCACTGCAGCATCCCATACCCAGGAGGTCCCAGAGCAGACCCATCACTGGCAAAGTGGCCTTCCCAGATCCACCCCTCCTGGTTCCTCAACTCTTCCCAGAAGAAACCTCACCCATGCCTGGGTGGTCTTGTGCGGCCCTGGCCAGCACCCTGTGACCTCCCCAGCTGTACTTCACTCCAACTAGGGCTGCCATGCTCCTGCCCTAGCTGCATCTCACCCATGGCTGCTCGTGGCTGGGGCTCTCCAGCCTCTGTGTTGTACTCCTCATGGTCACTGGGGCACAGGCACAGGAACGATCCCTCCACGTTCTCGCAGAGTGCAGTCCCACACACAGCAACCATCAGCTCACACTCATTCACATCTGCAAAGCAAGGGGCAGTGATAGATGTCTGCTCACAGAACAAGAGTAGGAGAGCGTGGCTGCTCCATGCACTGGGGAACCCTGTCTCAGTGTGGACAGTCTCTGTATGGTCTGCAGCATCGAGTCACCCACTAACAGGGAGATGGACCCCACTGGGGAAAAGCTGGGAGCTCTGTTAACACTGTGGCTAGACACAAGTCTGGCAAGTGCATCTTGCCCTGTTCCCAGGGGATGAACTCCAGCTGCTTCGAGTCATAGGATCATAGGATCATTCAGGTTGGAAGAGACCCCTCTAGTCCAACCTCCTGCTCAAAGCAGGGTTAGCTATGAGCTCAAACCACGTTTCTCATGGCTTTACTCAGTCAGGTCTCGAAAAACTCCAAGGATGGAGACTGCATGACCTCTCTGGGCATTTCCACTGCTTGACGGTCTTCATGGTGAAAAAAGTTTTTCCTTATATTCAGCCCTGCCCATTCTTTCTAGGTACCCGTTAAAAGGCCTCTCTAACACCTTTGGCGTTTGCAGTCCCCAAGCAAGCTTCCTTTTACCTGCACAGAAAAGGGCTCCATACTCACAGGGAGGCCACTTGTTCTTTCATGGAGCCCCATTCCTCTGCAGTCCTAAGAGTCTGGTGTGTAATGGGAACAGGATGGGACAGCTTCTGCCCCCAAAGACTGCCTAGTCTGTCTGCGATTCTCCATGCCTGGACACAGTCCCTGCCCATGCCCTGGGAGCAATCACACACTGGAGGCACTTCTCTACGAGGGCTGTGGAGCGGACCCATACTGCCCCAGTATCTACCAATGGCTCGTCCTCAGTGATCCATAGAGCGATCATGGGGGACAGGGCCCGAGAAACTGGCTCTCACCAATGCAGTAGTGCCCAGAGGATGAGCTCTCGTAGCCGCGGTCACAGAGGCAGAGGAAGGAGCCATCCGAGTTCTCACAGAAGCCATGGCTCCCACACAGCGTCTCATTGGCACACTCATCTATGTCTGCAGGAGAGAGGAGAGCAGGAATCACCCTAGAAAACACCTCTTCCAAGGGACTCCTCCAGCCCATCCACTTCTGCTCTGACCGTGAGGCACAGAGAACAGAGCAGGCATTACCTTGGTGTGAGGGATTGGGCCTGGCTGCCCTGCTCACTACCTTACTATGAGTGTGTGTGTTAGAGCAGCTTCTAGCAACATCCAGAGCTGCAGAGAGGCCAAATGGGTAGTGAGACAGGAGCAGGAGATGGAAGGGAAGCGCAGGAAGCGGCTGGTGGTGGCAAATGAGGGTAGCAGAGGTCTTTGCAGAGGTGGAAAGGGACACGGAGCCTGGTTCCTACAGGCTCACAGCAGCAGGAGGTACAAGGGTACATCTGAAGTGTGCAGGGCAGTTTCAGAAGGGTGGGGATGAGCAGATAGATCTAGGATGATGCCATTCTGCCCCTGACCGTGCTGACCTTCTCCATTTGTCACAAAGCAGGGAAGCGATCTCTGCCTTGCCCCAGCCCAGAGGGGTTGGACAGTTGTGACCGAGTCCTCTGTCTATAGTCCTCTGGCTGCACCTTGCCCCTCTCCTGCCACTGCGTAAGGGAGATATCCCTGGAGCAGCCAGGACAGCCACCTGTCCACAGCCCGCTGCTCCCAAAGCCAGGAGCAGCTCCGTGTGCTCTTACTGTTGAGCACTGGCACAGCCTTGAGCCCAGCAGTTGGCAGCAGCTCCTCTGAGCCACAGGGAGCCTTAAAAACTGCAGAAACCCCTTTGCCTTTATCTCTTTGCTTAGGGTTGGAGCCTGAACTCCAAACCTAGACCCCACAGCCTAACACGCTGTGGTACCAGCAGCCTTTCCCCTCACTCACCCCTGCCATGTGCCTGGAACAGGCAGTAGACCCAGCAAGCACAGCTTACTGGGGGCTACAGTCCAGCCCCAGCCCTGGAAAGGCTGTAACCTGCCCAGGACTCTCCCTGAGAGGGAAAGCAACATAATGCAGTGTCTATTCCAGGTGCCAGGAAGAGAGAAGTCTAGACATAAGCAGGCAGCTCAGCCAGGAAAACAAGCTCTCAGCATTATCTGTCTCCCCACTGGCCACATGCTTCCTCCTTTGTCTCCTCCCCCACACCCCTGGCAGAGATGACCTGCAGCCACCTTACTCCTGCCAGGAGGAGGGACAGGGACACTCGGGCTGTACTCACCAATGCAGTCACCCAGGGGGGTCCAGTGGAAACCAGGCTGGCAGCCCATAATACAACGGTAGGAGCCCAGGCTGTTCTGGCACCTCCATGCGCCACAGATGGCATCCCCATATTCTTTACACTCATCCACGTCTGCAGGCCAGCACCAAGAGGTTCAGGAAGAGGAGTGCAAACGGACAAGGATAGTCAAATAAGGACCCTGCTAGCCCACTGCACAGCATCAACCAGATCCAATTTGCCAGAGACCCTGAGCTACTGCTAGTCCTCCTTAGAAGCCATCAGCAACTTTGGGCATTGGGAACCAGAATGCTCCATCCCTGCACCAGCCAGAGGTTACATCCTTCCCCCTGTGTCCCAGGGGTCTGATCTCCCCCAGGATGAGCTCTCACCTACACAGTCATCAGTCTCCTGGGAATGCTTGAACCCATTTTCACACAGACACCTGTAGGAGCCTTCTGTGTTCAGGCACTGGCCTTGCAAGCACCGGGACTTGTCTGCACATTCATCCACATCTGCAAGAGCAGGAAAAATTGTCACCTCAGTTCTTGCAGCAGGGGAGGGGGTGAAGGGCAGGACCTGAGGTATGTCCCTGCCATTCGCCAGCTCACCTTGGCAGCTAACTCCACCAGCCGTATTTGAGAAGCCAGGAGCACAAATGCAGAAGTAGGATCCATGACTGTTGAGACACTCGCCATTGGGGCTGCAGATCTCGCTGTTCAGGCACTCATTCACATCTGCAGAGGGAGAAGAATCAAAGCCATGCACCCACCTCTGGGAAACATCCCTTACCCAAGCCACATGGATCCTCCCCTCCAGTCCCTCAGAGGCAGCCCCCTAGGACTTGTGGTCACCCTGGCTTTCTTGTCATTGAGACAACGAGGCTCTTCCGCATCCATGGTGACTTTGTGTTTGGCCACCCTACAGGTGTGCCCAGCATGGTGGCATCACCTACTTTGGTACTGGCATCTTCCCTGCCAAGAGAAAAAGGGAATCCATGGGGAGGCTGCATGTTGGGGACCCAGAGGGCTACAGGGACGGGACTTGTACCTTCACACATGGTACCGTTGATGAACTCGAAGCCAGCCTGGCAGTGGCACTGATAGGACCCTGGAGTGTTCCTGCACTCTCCTCCCACACACTGAATGGCAGGATCTTCACACTCGTCCACATCTGCCCAAACAGAATGTCACAGCACAGAGTAAGGCCCCAGCTGCAGCCGCTACCTAGCACAGCCATCACCCAGTTGACAGCCTGCAAGGTAGGCTCAGGGCACCCTCACAGAGCACCCCCATCACAGTCAGAGGAGGGCAAAGACTCACTGTTATTAGGGTGTTAGAAGTCAGCCTATACCTTTTACACACATACACATGCACGCGCGCGCACACACACACACACACGTATGCACGCCTCCTAAGGCACTTGGGTGAACTGGATCCCAGCCCTGAGCTGAGTACTCACAGACAATCTCACAGGGTGCTAGCCCCAGTATCCACCTCCACTGGAGCTCTGCTCTGGCTGTCGTGACCACCAAGAGCCCAACACAGTCTCACAGCTGCTGACGAACCTTCTCTTCGGTCAAGTGCACAAGAGCAGACATCAATCCAGGACCAGCAACGCCTTCTCTGGGTCTGCTTTCTTACCTGCCAGACTTGCCTACGATACCCTTCTATGCAGAGGCAGGGGCCTATATCAGCTCTTACCCAACTGCAGAGCCTCCAGCAAACCCTCTCACCCCAGCTCCCTCCAGGCCTTAGCCAGAGACCGCTGATACTCTGAGAGTTTTGCTCACAACAGAGGACAGAGTTCATGCCTTCCTTCTAATGGAGGGCTGTGCGATGCCAGCAGACTGCAGTTTCCTGTAGAGCCCATGGTGCATGTGTGCATGGGGCAAGGGCAGAAGGCAAGTCTCCATGCTCAGCCTCAAAGCAGCAACGATGTTCATCACTCCCACCTTCTGCAGGACAGTTACCTAAAAGGTCTTTGCCCTCCTTTCCAGAAACCATGTGCAAGGCAGAAGGAAGGAGGTACTTTCCTGTAAGGGCTAGTATTCAGGCAGCAGAAGACATGCTGGTGCAGAAGGTCCTGCTCTACCATTTTCCCCTGCCAGGAGCTAAAGCACTGAGAGTGGCAGCTCCTGTGCTCAAGACAGGGACCTTTTCTTCCTCTCTGCAGAGCACTGAGTATGCTATAAGCATAAATGATCATTGTTCCCTACCACCTCAGGCAGGATAGCGCCCAACGGCTCAGCTTCAAAGGGTTACAAGCAGCAG